CAACTTCCTGTCCCTAATTACCTTCTTTTTTAAAGGGGCAACATCATCTAATGCCACACGTAAAGAGGAATTAACATGATGAACTAAGGCATCAATTTGTGAAGGGCTAGAAATGAAAATATTGCCCTCTGTTACATGCCTTTGAGATGCTGAGGACAGTAAAGATGGAACAGTTGATTTAAAAGACGCAACTGCGTTGTCAGATAGAGACCGACTATAATGAAATTTACTTTCATGTCTCGAGAACTCAGTTATAAAAAACTCAAAGGTTATCAGAAAGTGGTCCGAGAGGACTGGATTATGTGGAAAGATTATTTCCTCACACTCAATGCCATAAGTCAGAACAAGGTCCAAGGTATGATGGCAGGAGTGGGTGGAGCTATGTATTCTTTGAGTAAAACCAATTGAGTCTAAGATATTACTAAAGGCTACATTGAGGCAATCATTTTCGATGTCCACATGAATGTTGAAATCCCCCACTACAATGACCTTATCAGTATTTAGCACCAAATCAGATAAAAAATCAGAGATCTGATCCAAAAACTCAGAGTAAGGGCCTGGTGGACGATATAAAACTACAAACAGGAGTGGTTTTACAGTTTTGCTATCTGGATTAGGAAAACTAAGAATAAGATGTTCAAACGAACTGTAACTATTAATCTGTAAGGGACTGATTAATAAGTCCGAATGAAAAATGGTTGCTACTCCTCCTCCTCGCCCTGTACTTCGAGCAATATGATGATTTAAATAATTTGAAGGAGTCGACTCGTTTAAGCTAACATAGACCTCTTGCTGCAGCCAGGATTCTGTGAGAGAGAGCAAAGAGATCTGATTATCACAAATCAACTCATTAACTAACAAAGTCTTAGAAAAAATGGATCTAATGTTCAACAACCCACATTTAATTTTTCTAGTTTTCTGCTCAGTTGAATTTGTTCTAATATTTATGAGATTTCCATGATTTGCTTTATTAAGCCTGATATTTAATCTGTGTGATTTTGGCCGTGGGCAGGACACTGTCTCTATGGGGTAGTGGGTGGTTAACAGTACAGAAGCTGCAGAGGGGTGGGTTAAACTACGACTCTGCTTCCTGGTCTGGACCCTGGGTTGTCATGGAGGACTAATAAAACTGGCCATATTCCTAGAAAGAAGAGCTGCTCCATCCAAAGAGGGATGGATGCCGTCTCTCCGCATCAGACCAGGTTTTCCCCAAAAAGTTTTCCAATTATCAATGTAGCCCACGTTGTTTTCAGGACACCACCTAGACAACCAGCGGCTGAAGGACAGCATGCGGCTAAACATGTCGTCACTGGTCCGATCAGGCAGGGGGCCAGAGAAAATTACGGAGTCCGACATTGTTTTGGCAAACTTACACACCGAAGCAACATTAATTTTAGTGATTGGCGTAACCGGGTGTCGTTACCGCCAGCGTGAATAACAATCTTACTGTATTTACGCTTATCCTTAGCCAGCAGTTTCAGATAAGATTTAATGTTGCCCGCTCTGGCCCCAGGTAAACATTTAACTATGGTTGCTGGAGTCTCTAATGCCACGTTTCTGACTATGGAGCTGCCAATGATCAGAGTCGGCTTATCAGTGGGTGCGTCACTGAGCGGGGAAAATCTATTAGAAACGTGGACGGGTTGGTGGTGGCCCACGGGCTGGGTTCTATGCTTCCTGCGTACCGTCACCCAGCCGGCCTGAGGTCCCGGCTGCTCGGGTTCCACTGGAGGGTCGCTACGTGGTTGTTCTGAGCTAGTTAGCCCCGCACTAGCTAGGTAACTACGGCTGTTTACAGGTTTTTCAACAGCGCAGAGCCGGGACTCCAATTCCGACACCCTCGCCTCCAAAGCTACAAAAATGCTACATTTATTACACGTACCATTATCACTAAAGGAGGCAGAGGAGTAACTAAACATCTGACACAGAGAGCAAGAGATAGGAGACGGAGAAGCAGAGACAGAAGTAGCCATAGCCATGCTGAGGCTAAGCTAACTGGACGAGCAAACTGTTCAGTACCAAATAAACTGCGTGCAAACTCAAATGGTTCCCTAAAAGCTAGGTGGAACAACAGAAAATGTGTGTTTTAGCGTGCTTTTGTGCTACAATAACTCAGAGATATCCAAGTACAGAGAAATTAAATCAGCTTTAGCGAGCCCCAAACACCAAACAGCTACACGGAGTGCAACACTGAAAACAGGAAACAGGAAACGCCTTACCGCCAGGTGCAGCCAATCATAATGCAGAGAAGCGCTCTGTAGGCAGACGGGACAAAGAGCCTTGGGGAAAAAGATAAGGGAGCACAAAGGGAAGCGTCTGTACTCTGCGAGTGCCAGAAGAGAAGAGGATCAGACGGTCCCTTGAGCGCCCTGCAGTTTTGTAGGCTCATAGAGCACGACTGAACACATTGGGAGCAGAGGATGGGTTTAATGAAAAACATGAGGTTGTAGCTTGTTCATTACCTTGCCACGACTGCAAAGAGGTGTGTTACGTTTCGAAATGCCATTCTGTTCAGAAGTTATTGACCCGCAAATGTCTAATCTGTGAATCACTTGTTAACTTTACCAAAGTCGTATTCTATCAGTTAACTTTGAATAATATAACATTATCATCATCATCATCATCATCATCATCATCATCATCATCTGGCATCAATAAATCTGAACTTAGTCATGTACAGAGCGGTGGTCCAAAGGGCTCAAGAATGGATGCAGATAGAAAGACCCTTAAAGCAAAGATTAGACTTTCTTCATGAGGTTTAACAAAATAACAGATGAAATAAGTACAATAGAAGATTTTTATATTTAATTTTATGGTTAAAGGAGACCACAGATTTGACCGAATACAGCCAGTGTGACCCAGATCCAATCAGGCTTGTGTTAATGTGGTGAGAAGTCACCTTGGTGTTAGGCAATCAGAGGCAATACATCATGAGCGAGACTCCTAATCCTGTGGCTTTCCACCTGCACACCTCTCACCCACTCCTCTGACAAACTTCTACCACCTGAAACTAGAGTGCCAGAGCCACAGAAAACAACTCAAGCCATTCATTCATCCTAGAGACCACAGCAAATTTACTGAAAAAACAAGTAAATGAGAGCTTTGAAGACCAAATTCACTCGTTTTTATTTCAACATATCTGCAGCGGTCTCTAGTATAAATGATCTTTGAGGGGAAATAGCTCTCATTGTCCGGTTTCGGGAAGTGGAAGTTAGCCACAGCAGAGGGGAGCAGAACACGACAGCATCATGACTCATACAATCCAATCCAATTTTATTTATAAAGCGCATTCACAAGGCATTACAACCAAACAAGGCGCTGTACACTAAAAATGTTGGTTAATTAAACAGGCGATATACAAACATGTCGAACACAGATAAAAGATAAAAAGGAAATACAACAAAATTCCCAAAAATAACAGCTAAAAATCAATAAGACACAGGGAGAATAAAAATAGGAAAAAAAAAACCATTTTACAAAGAACCTCAATAATACGGAAGTCGATAATTGTGGAGTCCATTTTTAAACAGTGCAGATGTCAGTGAGGTCCATAATTATGTTGTTGTATAAGCTAGGTTGAAGTAGTGAGTTTTCAGGCGTGATTTAAAAATGCTAGCTGTTGGTGCTAGCCTCACTAGCAGTGGTAATGCGTTCCACAGCTTGGGTGCACAGACAGAGAAAGCCCTTTCTCCACGGCTTTTTAAACGAGCATTCGGAACAGCTAGGAGGAGCTTATCTTCAGACCTGAGAGCACGCGGCGGGTTGTAGTAATGGACAAGTTCACACAGATGTGGAGGAGCTTGATGGTTCAAAGATTTGTAAGTGAGAAGCATAATTTTGAAGTTTATCCTGAACTGCATGGGCAACCAGTGGAGAGATTTCAGAATTGGAGAAATGTGTTGTCTTCTGTCAGCTCCAGTCAGCAACCTAGCTGTTGAATTCTGGACCAGCTGAAGTGTAGAAAGAGCTGCTTTACTGATGCCGTATAAGCAGGAGTTGGAGTAATCCAGCCTTGAGGTGATAAAAGTGTGGACCACCGATTTCAGAAGACGGACACTCAGGATGTGCTTTAGTTTCGAGATGAGTCTTAGTTGGTAAAAACATGATTTAACTGTGTTATTGACCTGGGCATCCATCTTCAGAGCCTGGTCCATTTTTACTCCAAGGTTGGAGATTACAGAGGATACATTAGGTGAGAGATAATTGAGGTCAGGTTGATGAGTCGCCGTGGTACTGTTAGGACTAAAAACGAGTAAGTCCGTTTTGGAGTCATTGATATGGAGGAAGTTGTCAGCTAGCCATTGCTTGACCTCAAGGATACAATCAGACAGAACTTTCGTTGATTGAGTTGGCTTAAATGAAAAGTAGATTTGACAGTTGTCAGCGTAAAGATGGTATGCGACAGCGTGCTTTCTAAAAATGGCTCCTAAGGGCAGTATATAGAGGTTGAACAGTAACGGGCCAAGAATTGAACCTTGTGGGACACCCCGACGTAGAGGCTGTGACTCGGATGAACAGCCGTCCAACATGACCCTAGCAGACCTGTTACATACTTCCTGATATGTGGACATCTCTCCTCTGATTGGCTAACAGCAACACAACTCTACCACTGACTATCTGCTCTGCAACGTTGATGTTTTATCTCCACAAACAACACAAGCCTGGAGGAGTTCTGCTCTGTGGTGGAGTAGCTAATGCTAACAGTTAGCTTCTACTAGCTGAGACGTTCTCTGCCGTTTCCTGGACTAAACCAACAACAGCCTTCCCCGCCGTGAGTCCAGATGGGTGAGTCCATGATAGTTAGTGACAGAGTGATGTAGATCTGTCAGTCTTTTCTATTCTAGAGTTTCACAGTCTGTTTTCTACCAGAAGCTACTGCAGGAGATAGGTGTAGGAGTGTAGGAGACTATTTTCATGTTCAGCCTGCATGTTAAAAATGGCTTCTCAGTGAAATTGGCCTCACAGTTTCTGATTAATCACATTTAACCTCCTGTTTTAAGAGGATTTCCTGCCACTTCAGACTCGACCACTCAGGTCAAGAAAAAGGGAGTCACCGAGAGATGAGTCTTCCGTGGCTGATGATGTCCAAACTACAGTCCATCAGAAGGTCATTAAGTTGACTAGGATATATCACATTTGCTTTGTTTCATTCCCACAAACTGAAACGTCCATCTCTTTTATTATTAGAACCCAAATAAAGGCAACACAGGAGGGCCAATTCTTTACCCTCAGCAGGATTGTCTCGTAATCACGGAGTCATCCTGTCTGCCCGAGTGGGAAGATCACACCAAAGAAAAAAACACAGCTGCAGCAGGGCAAGAGGAGACAACTGCTGCAAATGTTGATGATCTGCAGAGCCATGGAACACACACTGATGAAGATACTGAGGAGCAAATCCCTTCAGAGGACTGCAGAAGATCGCCAAATCCAAACCACGTGGATCAACTCCAGGTCTCCCAGCCCAGCTCCAGGAACGATGAGGACTCGGCTGAGTTGGAGAAGCAAGTAGGCGAAAAGGAGCTTTCTATTCAAGAGTCCAACAAAGTCAAAGAGTCAGCAACAGGTTTACCGGCCAAGAAGAAACGCAGAATGGGTATGTGTGGTCTGACTGAGAAAGAACGAAGCCAATTTCTACAAGCAGCACAAAGTGGCCAGAATGGAACTGAGAGCACTCGGAGACAAATCTGTCCACAAACCACCAAACCTCAGGCTTTCGAGGAGGAGGTCTGGTTACCATCCAGCTGTGGGAATATCTCAGCTGTAGGTGTGATGGACCAGAGCGAGTCCACACCACAGCATCCATCCAGTCACGGTGGAGAGGCTCACGGGTCAGTATTACACCAAATAGTTTTATAGCCCTTTTTACAATACACACCTTGCCGGCAACTCGGCGTAATATTACTGGGACGTGTCTTATAAACGCGCCATGGCCATGTGTGAATTTTGTGGCCTTCGTTCCGCCTCGCTTGGTAGAAATATGGATTCATGAACAGCGATTAAGCCTTGGTGCAACAGAGGGAGGTGTCATGATCACGTGGGGAGTTACTGCCAAGCTCTGGAAGTAAAGACGGGCGGCGAGTTTGCTTTTGTCACAGAATCAGCTCTTGGAGCTTCTCTCTATTAGATCTGGAGCTCAGATCACCAGAGACTGCATGGGGACTGTGGAGGACACACCTTAAGGAGCTGCTTGTGAAAAATACCTGATAAGCGTGGCTTCGATCGCAATAAAAAGCAAGTTATGTCCTAGAATAATGGACGTCCGTGGCAGCGCGGAGACCACCCCCATACCTCCGTTATACCGCCATTGCATCAACTTTTGTGAAAAGGACACGATTGCACAACATTCCCGCCACGGTCTGACCACATAAACAACCTAAGGCTCTCTGATGCCACCATGGCGTTGCGGCAAATTGACGCCATTGTTTTGCAAAAAGGGCTTAATTTTAGAGTCTTAGTTGAATTTTTACCCGTTTGTTGTATAAAGTTGTGAATACCTACCAAGATGTCAGATTAGATCTCATTAGTTATATTTCATATCAACGTTTGAATGTTGTTTGAAAATGTGATGCTCAGTGGACATTTTAATGTTAATAACCTCAAAGCAAGAGCTGAGCTCAACATTTGGACGTGATGGCTAGAGAATGTTTTCTCTAGTTCGTCTGGTTAATTGGGCGTTAAAGTCCTAGACTATAAAACTAAGTGAACCTCCAATAAAGATGCTGAAATAAGTAAAACTCATATCACGAGGTTAAAGGAATAATTTGTTTTATAATAATCTCTCTTGTGAAAGCAGACCAGGATCTGAAGTCCTCGTAGCTGTGACCATCTCAGATGGGACTGGATGTAATGGAGGATCTCCACCTGGTCCAGAACACGAATTAACCCACAACCCACAGTCCCGTCATGCTGAGGAAGAAGAGCAGAAGCTGCTGCAGGAATGTAAAGAACCTACAGCCGAGATGTTCGAAAAACAAACGAGCATGGAACAAAACCAGCTAGCAGAAGTTCAGTCAAGTTCTGCTGTCACTTCTGACACCAGTCAAAAGGAGGACAAGGACAAAGAGGCTGTGGGAGATGCTCTTCCACACATGAATACTGAGAGAGGGACAAGAGGCAACGAGAAGGGAGAGACGAGCAGTGATGGGGCTGAAGACGAAGCTTCCTCTGCTGACACTCAGCCTGAAGGACTTGTGAAGATCTGTGAGGCTTCAAGTGTCCCAGAACTGAAGCCCAAGGTGAGCAGTGCCGTTCCAACTAGCTTGCTTTTATTGAGCTAATCAGAGATGGCTCCCAGCTGCCCGTCTATCTGATGGACCGGCAGATCAGTGCGGTGACTACATCTAGTTTTAATCAATTAATTAGGATCACCAAAGTAAAGGCCTTGCTGTCAAAAAGGATTGTGAAACAGTAATTTGTGCTTTTATTACATCAAGGCTTGGTTACTGTAATTCTTCGTTCCTTGGTCTTTCACAATCCCTCCTCTCACGTCTTCAGTTGGTGCAGAATGCTGCTGCACGGCTGCTCACTGGGACGGAGCATGTCACTCCTGTGCTGGCCTCGCTGCACTGGCTGCCTGTTTGTGTTAGAGTCCAGTACACGGTGCTTTTAAATCTCTGCATGGCCTTGCTCCAGAGTACCTCTCTGAGCTGCTGGATTTTACTCCGCTGCACGGCCGCTGAGGTCGACTGATAGGATGCTCCTGGAAGTCCCAGAAGCCAGCCGTAAGGTCAGAGGTGACGGGGCTTCTCTGTAGTGCCCCCTAGGCTCTGGGATGAGCTGCCTTTGAGCGTTAGGTTGGCTCTTCACCGTCTGGTTTTAAATCACGATGTGGCGTTTAACTCGGCATGAGAGGGTTAGGGTTAGTTCTTAAGCTTTAGTCTTGATGCATTTTTATGTTGAGTGTTGTTTTTAATGTCTGTGAAGCACTTTGGTCGGTTTTGTGCTGTAAGGCGCTACACAAACAAAGCTGCCTGGCCTTGATTAGTATTTGACAAATATTGAAACTTGTGATCATGAAATTGTTTTTAAATGCAGCTCAGATCTAAATTTTATAATTTTTAGAGCAGCTTTGCAAACCCCAACCCTTCCTTACATCAACCTAAGGTCACTGTCTGTTGCCTCTGCAGTGTGATCCTGAAGGAGATTCTGCTGCTCGTCCTCCTGAGCAAACACACACCAAGGAACCCGATGACTTGGACTACGTGTCAGACTCGCAGCTGAACACCATCGTTCTCGTGTAAGCACAGTCGGGTTCAGTCCCACGAAGAACCGGTTTGTTCTTTTAGATAAACTTTAATCTGTTTGAAGCACTTAACAGAATTTTCTAACACAATGGGATTAATCACGGACTTATTGGGAAACATGTTTCATTGCCTCTTCGTATTCCGGCTTTCCACTGGGCGCATCCCAGAAACATGGCGACATGTCCCTCATCTAAATTTACACTTGGGATTTTTTCATCCACACATCCAGTCGTTCAGATCAGGCCAAACAGGAAGTCAAACACAGCAACAGTGTAAAGCATCCAATGACTTTCAAAACAAAAGTTAAGTCCCATAGTCATCAAGACACTGGTGAAATGACATCTCTGCATCTGACCCATCCCGTGGGGAGCGGTGAGCTGCAGCAGTGGCTGCGCTCGGGAACCATCTGGTGGTTTACAGATGTGCATGACCTTCGTAGCAACAGAATAAACCACAGACCTTCTGGATGCATGCTGCCATCTTCCTCCTAGCTTTTTTAGTGAGCTGTTGAAATCACCAGCAGGGTTGAACCCATTCTCAGCTGATTCGGATCTGAAATGCTCCCAGTGGAAGGGACACATCTACGTTACGCGCTGCTTATGCATCCGGTGGAAAGCTCTGGTTAAAAACAAACTTCTAAACAAACGATTAAATGTTAGAAGGGTTTCTGAAGTGCTACTCTTATCATCTGATGTTTTTGCTGGGACAGTGATGAGAAGATGATGGAGAAAGAACCAGAAAAAGAAGATCCGGACCCCTCTGGCTGTCTTAAAGATGCATCAGAGCTGATCTGTGGACTGATCAGAGAACTTTCCTCTCTGAAGTTAGTGCACACACTTCTTCTTTCACTCAAGTTAAACGTAATGACTTCATTGCCAGCAGATTCAGAGTAGCATCATACAGCTAAACTAAAGTCAGACTCTCAGATTATAGTCCGGCTGAGTACGTACCGATGGCTTTATTCCTTTTGGCTAGCTGTGCTTTAATACTTAGTAAGGTGTGCTGTCAGAGACGCGCTCAGACCCACGGTCATCGTGCCCTTGGGCAAGACACCTAACCGGCTTGCCTGCTGGGGGCAGTCGGAGGGACTGGTGAGGATCCTCTGCCAGTGCACCCCAGGGCAGCTGTGGCTACAATGTAGCTCATCACCACCAGTGTGACTGGGTGAATGACTATTGTAAAGCGCCTTGGGGGGTTCCAGGACTCTAGAGGGCGCTACATCAACTACAGGCCATTTACCATTCTAACTGTAGAGCATTTTATTGCAGTTGAAAAGACAGAACAAGCTCCTCCTCCATAATCTCATGCTGTCAAATATCAATGTTTAGGGAGAGATCCCCGTGTGTCAAAAACCCAAGAGTGATGTTCTGGGTTGGGGTTAGTGTCGCTGAGGGGGTCTGACCCGGTGTTACGACCACACAGTTAGTCATCTTTCTGCCTCCTGTAAACCAAACCTTAAAGGAGTGGTTGACTGAAAACCACATTTCAGTTATTCCTTCTGATGACGGGTCACCAAGTGCTTCATGCAGGCTGAACATGAAAATAGTCTCCTACACCTTTCTCCTGCAGTAGCTTCTGATAGAAAACAGACCAATGGCTCTACTAATTCAAGTTTATTTATAAAGCACCAAATCACGACAAGCGTCGTCTCAAGGCACTTCACATAATGAACATTCCAGTACAGGACAGGTCATTAAGCCAATCAGTAAAAAGTTTCCTATATAAAGAACCCAGCAGGTTACTTCGAGTCACTGACTAGTGTCAGAGTCTTTACAGCAATCCTCATACTAAGCAAGCATGCAGCGACAGTGGAGAGGAAAACTCCCTTTTAACAGGAAGAAACCTCCAGAGGATCCTGGCTCAGTATAAGCAGCCATCCACCATGACTCACTGAGGATGGAGAAAACAGAGCACACACACACACACACACACACACACACACACCAAATATACCAAGTAGTGTTTCTATGGTTACATTGTTATTTCTTAGTAAATATTCTATTTGGTGAGAGATAAACTTTATTGTATTTATCCTAATGAATCTATAATTAAATGGGTAAACTAGCAGTAGCACATCCAATGTCAAAGAGAGTAAGATGTTATTATCAGGAGAGGGAGAATGTTTAAGTGGTTAGCAACAGTGTTAAAGCCGATGGCCCCCTCCATGAGGCCACCACAGCTCAGCAGACTATCATTGTAGCTTCTTCTGGGGAGAAAAACACTTAGAAAAAATAAAGTTAACAGCTGAAATAGCAGGAAATAGTACAGTTAAAGAGCAGATTGTAGAAGAACGTAGTCGAGTGTGGAAAGTGGTCAGTGTATCCTCCAGCAGTCTAAGCCAACAGCAGCATAACTACAGAGATACTGTAACTCTGGATAACCTAGCCTTTTAGATGGAGGCATGTTGGAGTCAGGGCAAGGGGGAGCCGTCCTTACCGACTGTACACTCGACCTCCCTCTACTCCCCCACTTGTCCAGATCTAGGCTAACATCAGATTTTAACCATAGGCCCTATCAAATAAAAATGTTTTAAACCTAGTCTTAAAAGTAGAAAAGGTGTCTGCCTCACGGACTAAAGCTGGGAGTTGGTTCCACAGGAGAGGAACCTGATAACTAAAAGATCTGCTTCCCATCTTAATTTTAGATATTCTGGGAACCACCAGTAAACCTGTAGTCTGAGAGCGAAGTGCTCGGTTAGGAACATATGGAACAATCAGGTCACTGATGTATGATGGAGCTTGATTATTAAGAGCTTTATATGTGAGAAGGAGGATCTTAAAGAGCAAGTCACCCCTTACAAGAAGCGTACTTCACTCCCATTTCATGTTTGAAAAATGCAACAAATGCTGTTGCCTAGCAGACCGAGAGGGTGGAGCCACTAACAAATACACACACTCAAGACATTGTGACATCATAATGTACCAGTTTACATCATAGCATACCTCTTAGCCAATAGCGGTGGCAGATTTAAATTCAAATGCAGTGAAGAGTTTTTACCTGACAACGACACAACACTGACAGTTTTAGGCAGAAAATTACAATTTTAACTAAAATCCACTGAAGTGCAAAACTATTGACTACATGTGTCTGCAGCACGATTAGACACGCATTTATGTAGTTTATCAGGAAAAAAAGTTGATTTGGGGGTGACTTGCTCTTTAAAATCTATTCTTACTTTAACAGGCATCTAATGTAGGGAAGCTAAGACAGGAGATATATGATCTCTCTTTAATTCTCATCATAACTCTAGCTGCAGCATCTTGGACAAGCTGAAGACTTTTAACTACATTCTGTGGACTTCCTGAGAGTAATGAATTACAGTAATCCAGTCTTGATGTAATAAATGCATGAACTAGTTTTTCAGCATCACTCCTGGAAAGGATGCTTCTAATCTTAGCAATATTCCGAAGGTGGAAGAAGAAAATCCTACAAACCTGTTTAACTTGGGATTTGAATGACATGTCCTGGTCGAAGATAACACCAAGGTTCCTTACTTTGTTCTCGGAGATTAATGTAATGCCATTCAGGTCAGGTGATTGACTAAGCAGTTTCCTTTTCTGGATTTCAGGTCCAAAGATGAGAATTTCATTCTTGTCTTGATTTAAAAGCAAACAGTTTTGAGTCATCCAATTTTGTATGTCTTCAAGATAAGCCTGTAATCTAACTAAGCGATTAGGTTAATCAGGGTTAATGGATAAATATAACTGATTATCGTCAGCATAACAGTGTAAGTTTATCCCATGCTGTCTAATGATTTTACCAATTGGGAGCATATATATATAGTAAAAAGAATTGGTCCAAGCACTGAACCCTGTGGTACTCCACAAGTAACCCTGGAGTAGTGTTGTCAAAAAAATCGATACCTTGATATAAATCGATACTAAAAGTGGTATCTAAATAAGATATTCCATCCCTGTGGTATCGATATTATGGACTATTATACACAGCCTTCTTCAAGTACACCGACACGCACGACAGCCAGATGCCGTAAAGCAGCCTCTGCCTCCCAGACAAACAGAAGAAGACGCCGCATGGCTACATTGCAATTTCCCACGCGAGTTGTCTCCGATCCAAGTTTTGTCTGCCAAATAATTAAACAAAAACATAAACAGCGAATTTGGGAGGCGCTTCACAGCCCAACTTAATTAGCATACCAAGTCCGACACGTGGTTGTATATTTGCGCATATATGCTTAAAGGAAAACTCCAGTTTATTGCAACCCGGACTTAATTTCTAGCATGTAGTACATTTGTTTATTCACGCTGGCAACTTTGGTGCTACTTGGATTCCCCGTGGTATTTAGATCCATCGGCGAATCGCCATGAGTGTATATCCATATAACGGGTGCGGAAGGGCACCCATGGTGCAGCCTCGAAATAAGACATTATCTGCACCAAAACATCTCAATGTCGAAAGGTTTTGTTAGGAATCATTAACATGATTCCCCTGTTCGTTTGGAGCGGGTCTGGGATTTCTAGGCGTGAACAGACTAGCCGCGGCTAATCTAACCGGCGCTTTTAATGACGTCACTGCCGTGCGCCAATCTGTTTTTATTAAGATTAGATGTACCTTTGTCCTACTGTGGAGAAATTCGTTTTCTTCCTTTATTGACCAACAGAGTTGTTCTAAAGTACAGAACAAAACATAAAAGTATTACAACTTATGACAAAAATGCACCTTAAACAGAGTTTAAGCAGCAAAACATCACTCTGCAAATAGTGTTAACTTTCGCCAGTTTTTGTATGCACGTTTTAAAAAATGCTGATACTTGAAAGGTTTAAGCACTTTATACACTTAATTCTTAACATTTAATTTTTGCAATATAAATTAGGAATGTTATTTTTTGAATAAACTTGTTCAATAAATTGGTGTTTTGAAATAGTATCGAAATCGAGCATCGAGTTTTTTTTCCAGTATCGAATCGAGTTTGAAATTTTAGTATCGTGACAACCCTACCCTGGAGTATGAAGAAAATTTGTCATGTATATTTATAAAGTGAAATCTATCAGACAGGCAGGATTTAAACCAGCCTAACGCTGTTCCTTTGATCCCTACAACATGTTATAGCCTTTCTACAAGAAGATTGTGATCTACTGTGTCAAAATCAGCACTGAGCTATACAAGACAAGAACAGACACAAGATTCTGCCTTCTTTTTTACCTCCATCCTCTTGTAAACTATTTTTGTGAGACTCTTATTTTGGTTAATACAGTCAGACAGGGTGTGGTGTACGGCGCTTTTATTGTGACGATCAGAAATGTGTGGGTTGGTTGTTGGGGAACGTGACTGCTGTAATGTGAAGTGACGGTGGTGTTGATAAAAGAGCCTTTCGAGTTCATGGCTGTCGGTCTCTACAAGTGCAGCTTTTATACAGGTTACCACCCTCTCACCACCCTCGGTTACACTCACTCGCCTTTGACCCCACGTGTCACGCCGCATTGCAAACGCACGAGTCGTGCATACGACTGGAACGCTTGGCGCTGCTAACAAGTGGCGTAGTTTGTCTTAAGTGAGTTTCCCACAACAGCATGCACAGCCAATCACACTGGCCATATATTACATAGGTAGGACTCGAGGAGAGAAAGTCATTTAACCCTTTCTGCACCTCCAGGGTAACGAGACATTCAGTGGCTTGTTGTGTTTTTAGCAGAGATGGTCAAATTATTGGTGGGGGCAATAGGGAGCCTAAGTCTCCTCCCTATCTGGTCGGCTCACGGGTCCCTGGAAGAACGAAAAAAAAAGCAAGTCAACGGGGCTAAAAACGTCATTTTCTAACCTGCTGTGCCTTATGCCCTGGATCACACATGTTGTAATGTAATTTAAATAAAATGGTTGTTTCGACCACGCCAATCACGCACTTTGAGATTTATCAGTTTGTAAACGTTCGTAATTAGCATGACTACATACCAGAAATAGGCACGTTGCATATGTGACGTCACCACATAAGCTCCTCCCCCCTAGCGAAGCTGCTACTCACCACATGACCAGATTTATGGTGGTTGTTTCCTCCTGTGGGAAGTTTGCTGAACTTACTGCCCTTTTCCCTCAGTTTTCTATGTGTCTGGTTCGATGATGTCACTGAACTTATTTTCACACAAAACTTAAAATAGTGTTTCCCCCCCGATAGAAAATAAGCTCGTTCTTGGTATCAAAATGTGTCTAAAATTCACGAACATCATACGTGAAATCCGTGGCACACAACAAGCGGACTAGAAAATAGCGTTTTTAGCCCCGTTGACTTGCATTCATTTATTCTTTCTTCCGGGGACCCGTTGTCCGGATGTAGGTGGGCGTGGCTTAGGCTCCCTATTTGGACATCGCTGGATATTGGTGGGGACACACCACCTCTGTCCATGTCAAATCTACACCCTTGCATGAATTTATTCCTTAGCTCAGAATCACACTGAAACTCAATCTACTGCATCTGAATATGATCAGACACCGACTCCACTCTAATGGTGAAGAGTTGAGAAAACAGCTCCATGTCGCTGCATCTTTTCCTAAAGTGTTCAAAGTCCTGGTCCATCTGAGAAGTGCTGCATATTCAGACGGCCTCTGCTTCACCAGGATGACCTCTCAGACTGGGGAAGTGTGCAAGGCTTGCTGAGGCCAAGTCTTCAAACAGTAACAAATACCGCAGAAATCCTTGTTTTGTGTGCGTGAAAGAGTTAGCATTTATGTACAGTGGTCGTTTGCAGTTTCACAGAATTTTTTGTGCAACTTTGCACACTTTTTCCAGTGTGTGTTCTGCGTCTGAAGCTGCAAACATTTGAACTTTGGGTGTTTAAAGAAGAGAGAAAAATCTGAAAACATTTGTGGTGGTGCTTTGGGACGAGCACGTCTGCAGAGGTGCTGCTGCCGTAGCGCATTACTGACCTGCACTCCCGCGACTAGGAGACGCGAGTCGTCGACTGGGTGAGCAGGAGCCAGCTGGCAGTGACAGGTCTGTGCTGAACGGGCGAAGTAGCTGATAATCATACAACGTTAAAGCCCGTATGAGAAAAGTGTATGAAGTGGGTGGTGAGGGGTTTAAAACACAGAATTGTAAAAAATACATTTATGTAGCGACCCAAGTTCATTGGAAAATCAGACACAAGCTAAAATCATACATGAATAAATGTTCGTGAACCCGCCAGAAAGCACCGTGTCCCCGCAACACAAACAAGAGCGGACTTATTCATGGAGTTAGCCACTGTAATAGGCATTGTGTGTGTGTCTGTGTGTGTGTGTGTGTGTGTGTGTGTGTGTGTGTGTGTGTGTGTGTGTGTGTGTGTGTGTGTGCGTGTGCGTGTGCGTGTGCGTGTGTGTGTGTGTGTGTGTGTTAACCTACCTGCTGACTAGGGCTGCAAAAAACGATTATTTGGATAATCGATGAATCGGATGAGGTCTCGACACGATTAATCGGATTACATGGGGACATTTTTAAAAACTGCTAGGGAAACGTTATTTCTCTCCTTCCTTCACTTTATTAAACACAACATTATTAGAAAACAGTTCAATAGCAGAAAAACAACATACCATCACCTAAATTGTCTTATAAGGTGTATAGACAGAGACCCTAAGCTACACCTATCTGTGACCTAAAATGCTTGGTCCAAGTTTAACAGCTTAAAGAGCAAGTCAACCCCTACCAGAGTCTAACTCCACTCCCACTTCATGTTTGAAAAATGCAACAAATGCTGTTGCCTGGCAGACCGAGAGGGCGGAGCCACTAACAAATACACACACACTCAGGCTCACGACAGCATTGTGACATCATAATGTACCAGTTTACATCATAGCATACTTCTTAGCCAATAGCGGTGGCAGATTTAAATTAAAATACAGTGCAGAGTTTTTACCTGACAACGGCACAACACTGCCAGTTTTAGGCAGAATATTTAAATTTTAACTAAGATGCACTGAAGTGCCAAATTATTGACGACACATGTCTGCAGCACGATTAGACACTCATTTATTTAGTTTATCAGCAAAAAAAAGTTTATTTGGGGGTGACTTGCTCTTTAATGGCAATTCTCATCTGTTTTGTTTGATCTCATCTGTAGACATTTATTATAATTGGGGATGTCAAACAACTAATTTTTAATGTAATTAAACATAGGCTGTGTGAATTAATCAAAATTAATCACTATTTCCAAAAATGACTGAAAAAATACCAATTAAAACAAAAGTAAATGAATGCCACCCTCCTTGCGATGATGCCCTGGGCAACTGCCATAAAGTCACATCAAGAAATGCTGCTGATCATTCCAATGATCCCAAATAGACTCACATTAGGCCACATGAAAGCAACTGAACCCAAAAATATATTAACCAGTATATAACTGCACTCACACAACACGCCTGCAGCAACAGTTAGGACTCCTCCCTCCCTTTTAAAAGCGTTTTCGCTTCCGAGGACATTGTGGTTGTAAAACCACATGCTAGCAGTCTGGCCCCGGTGTGATCAACCAGTTTCTGCAGGAATGTGACGGCGGAACCGGTGTTCTGACAAAACGTCCTACTTTGGCAAACCGTCGTAGCAGTAGGATAATTTTACGCTGCCTCATGACAAACTGCCCTACTTTGGCAAAATGTCCTACTGTACGTAATGTATGCACATTTCTGCTGCCAAACAATAATTCCAGCACAAATGTAAGTAGGTGTGACAGTTTGCCACTTAACTTTGCCCTCAGGGTATGTTTGTAGCTGATATTCATAAAGCCAGTACGGTTTGACACTTCATTTTACCCATTAAAGTGTGCTTGTAGGTCACATTCACAAAGGTAGCATGCTTTGTCAGGCAATTCTTATGCTTCTAGTTTTTAATAACGGTAGCATGCTTTGGCACTTGTTTGTAGAAGCAGTCTGCATGCCAAGGTGCTTAAGTTATACAGCTGTCACCATTGAAGTGATTGGAACACCTGACTATATATACTTTGACAATGAACTCACTCCATTAAAGTTACAGTATATATTTACTGAATATATTTACAGATACATATATTTGACATTTATAGATCCAACAGAACACAGGGACAAAGAACTGAAAAAGAAAGAGTATTCATAACAAATTATGCACATTTGTTGCACAAGTACTTGACCAGGCTGGCAATAAAATTCATTCTGATTCTGAATTAAAATTGATTTGTGTTTGTGGCTGTAATGTGACAAAATGTAGAAAAGCCACTATATATTGTCATGTTCTGTGGTAAATATTTAACCCAGGACATGCAGAATCAATACACGGAAGCAGGATGTAAACAATAATAAAGATTTATTAGGTAACGAGAACACAAGGTGCAACTGGAAATCCAGCGAATGAGTGAAACTGGAGCAGTGTCTGAGGGGAGAGGAGCAGACGTGAGTCCTTGATAATGCAATATGGTAGAGGATGCGCTTGGTAGGAGGACTTACAGGCGAAGCGTAGTGTAGTATGTCCGAGGAGGTGTGAGCTGGGAGAGCGAGTGAGTATCCAGGGATGAAGCAGAGCGAAGGGGTTTCCAACCAGAGGAGAGGAGAGAGAGCAGGTTGTGCCAAGAGCAATTCGAGCCGTTGGGAGGACGGGAACCGAGAGGGAAGTCCAGAAACTGTATGGTCAGGCAGTTGTATATCCAAAAAACACAACGAGTATGCGGGGTATGGAATGGGATGACTGAGCCTAAAGCATGAGACAAACAGGAATAAAGTCAGAGCAAAAAGTCGTTGCAGAAACACGCTTTCAAAGTCAAGGTTTCTAGTATCACTGTGGCTGGGACTCTACCAGTAAGGCGTAATCATCCGGCGGCTAGCAGTGTCCTCCGTCCTCCTTAAGAATGCAGCCCGCTGATCAGCTGATGGATTACAGCTGCTGCTCTCTCCTGAAATCAGAGAAGCTCAACAAACAGGTGATGTCATGGTGTGTGGAGAGTGCTCACCTCCCAGCTCACAACATATATTGCATTTGTGGTTTATTTGTATTACCATTTCAATCATACTGGACTCAGGATCGGCTTCCAGCATGGAACAAACCACACAGTAGTCATCAGCATTACCTAGAAACACACTGGCGTTCAACCTAACAGTTTTTAAACAAAACTGAAAGTGCTATTGCAATACAAAAGCACATGACTCAACTTACTTTGATGTTCTCTAGCAGTTTGCAAGCAATTTCTGTGCGTTGCAGCCCAATGGCTTCTGGAGTGGACAGCACCCTAGTAACCTCTCCACTCATAAGGTAGTGTTCGGCAAACTGAATATGTTACAGTAATTGCAATTAACTTAATTCTAGTTAAATACAATAAATACAATTAAATACAATTGCTTATTAAATACCTTCAACACTAAAACTCCACAACTGCTGGAGTCCATCTGCTTGTTGTGTGGCAGTCTCTCCATTTTCCAATCCACTCGGAACTCTTCATTTCCTTTCATCTTCAGAAAATTCCTAATAAAAACAAAACAAGTTTTTTTGCAAGCATTTTGCTCTAAAAAAAGAAACACAAACCAAACAACCCAAAACAGATAATTAATGAATGATGAATACCTCCAGTCACGCATAATTTTCCTTTCATAACAACCTTCATTTCCAAGAGGGTCTAACAGCAGTACAGATTGTGAGGAGATTTTGACAACCTAAAATAAAAATCGTATTTAGTAGAATGTGTATTACACTCACTCAAGTAAACATAATCAGTTGTAAACATTTTCAAAATAAGAATATGCTGCTAAAAGAATAATAAAACAAAAAAAGAGAAAAAAAACACATGAGGTGTTAACATGTACCACAAGGATCCAGTGTGCACCAGAGTTCAGTGGGCACAACCAAATGTCCTCAGCCGGAAACAACATCTGTGGAACATTTTTTAGTTTATAAAGATTTAGATTCATTTACATAACATGCACTATATGACTTATATAACATCTACATTACCTTGCTGACGCATTTAAACTTCCCAGAAAACAGAGAGGTTGCAACAACGCAAGACAACTGATACACGGGTTTCTGAAAAGTGTAATAGTTTATTTTTTAAAAGATTACAAAATTGTATAAAATACTTTTGTGAAATAACCGGCATACGTTCTTACTTGCCTTTTGTTTCCTAATGAGGCAGTGCAGGTATGCATCAATGACCTGTTTGGATTAAAAGAAGATTATTTTTACAGACCACCACTAGGACCAAAAATGATTACTTCACTTACCTCATCAGAAAGCCACCCACTGTCTTCCAGTGTGCGAAAAGAAGAGTCAAACAATTTGTATGGCCCAACGACTGCCTCCACACGCCCGGTGTCTTTTGCAGCCCAAAGCCACCTCACTAAAAACAAAATATAAGTTTATTTAGTAATAACAGTTGCCATTTGAAAATCACGGTCAATGGCCAACGGGCCAACAAAAGGCCAAACTGGCAACAATTGACCAACCGGTCAGAATGAGATTTTTAGCTATGCCACCTTTTTCTTGGGTGCTGGGTTTCTGGGGAGTCACTGGTGCAGGCTATTCTGGTGCTTGGACTGATGTTACCTGATCTATTTTTGGTGCAAACTTTATGACAGATGGTCTGTTATTTTGCAGTGCTTCATGATGATGCTGAGAACTGCAAAGCCACATCTCAGATGGTGGGCTACTCTCAACAGGTTTAGTTGGAGTTGAGACTTGGACAGGGTGACTTCTTCTATAGGGTTTAATGTGGTCAACACTGTATAGACTTTTTAAAGTATTTCCCTCAGCATTTTTCAGTCTAACACATTTTCCACTGATCTCATCAATTGTGTAGAGACCTGAAAAATCCTGTTCAAGTCTTCTTCCTTTTCGCCCACGTTTCCTCATATTTAAAAGGAGAATTTGATCTCCTGCATTATAGACAACATTTTTGTACTTTTTCAGGACCCGCTTGGCGTATGCTGCCTTTTGCTTGTCTTGTGACTTCGCAATGTTTTCTTGTGCAGTTTCTGTAACTGCATGTTGTGCTTCACTTTCAGACTGTACATAGTCACTGTACCTTTTGTCGTCTGGCAGAATGATGTTGGAAATCTAAAATTTTGTAGATATTAGCAATTAAAACAAGATGATATCATATTCATAAAGACATTACTGTTTTTTATGGCTTCAATTCTTAGTTCTAACATAGAAAGAATTTGACAAATACTCACTGGCACTTGAGCAGGCACTTCTGATGGAAATACTGCCTCTCTTCCGTACATCAGAAAAAAAGGTGAGTATTTTGTTGTGGTGTGTACTTTTGACTGCAGTGAAAACAGGGTGGGATCTAGATACAGATTCCAGTTATTCTGCTGGTCATTCACCAGTTTTCGGAGGGCTCTAAATACAGGCATAGAAATATGTAAAGACAGTAATGAAAGTTTAATTAGAAGTAAAGAAATTAATAAATTATTAAGTAACAATTAAGTTTGTATAACATAAGTAATGTTATTAAAAACTGATAGATAAAAATTAGGCATACCTTTTTATGTTGTCATTGGTCTTTTCATCTAGACCATTGGTCTGTGGATGGTATGCTGCTGTGACACTTCTTTCAATTTTCAATAACTTGCAAAGATCAGAGTTGAGCTTCAACAGATAAGAACAAGGATTCTTATACTTCTTATAAAGCACACAAGAAAAAATCTTTGACCCCAGTGAAGTAAAGTTAAAAAATGTAACTGAAAATTATTTAACACTTACTTCATTCACAAACTCTCTACCTTGGTCTGACAAAATCCTTTTGGGGCAGCCATGTCTTTATATAATGGAGCACAAGTGCTGTGCTACCTCAGATGCAGATTTCGTTTTTAGTGGGAAAGCTTCAACCCATTTTGAAAAGTAGTCAGTTGCAGTCAGTAGATACTGGAAGCCGCTTGAAGTTTTAGGAAGAGGTCCAGTAAGATCTATACCAATAAGTTCCCACACTTCAGACACCTATCAAGGATAAATTAATAATTTGAATAACAGTTTGTATAATGTACACATTAACATCAATTGTTAAAATTAGATGGCAAACCCTCCTGCCTTTATGGCCTAGTCCACACGTAGCCGGGGTTTTTTAAAAACGAATATCCGCCCCTCCAAAAACTTGCATCCACACCACCGCGTTTAAAAAAAAAACTCTGTCCACACATACCTGGATAAATACGTTGTTAAGGACATGCCAGACCTGTAGGCGGCAGTACTTCCCCCGTTCTTAACTTCGTCCTTCGTCTGTGGTCTTCCGCAAGGAGCAGTAATTCCGCTTGCAAAAACAAACAAGCAAAACGCTCTTGGACAATTGATGGATCGGGTAGTGACAGAGCGCAGCTCTGAGGGCTTCCATGATGCCGGCTAGTGTAAACACGGGTCGCACACGTGATGTCAGCATTTTTTTGTCGCGGAAAGTGACGTTGCGGACCTTTAAACTCCGGTTTTGTCTGTCCACACGCAGACACCCAAAACGGAGAAAACGCAGATCTTCACTTTGTCCGGAGTTTTTAAAAAGATCCGTTTTCGTGTGAAAAAACTCCGTTTTCGTGTGGATGACAGGCCAAAACGTAGAAAAATATCTACGTTTTGGCAGATCCCCGGCTACGTGTGGACAGGGCCTATGAATGTGAGCTAGAAGCATAGTTTGATGGGTAAAAGGGGCATAATATTTACCTGAATACACTGCAACGGTTGCACAGCGTCAGTGGTTTCCCAACTTTTTGACACTGGTCACATTCCAGAATCTTTAAGGTAAAAATATTTATGGAGTTCACGTAAATGTTCAACATTCTCATTTACAAAACACTTAATGACATATTCCTCAACAAACAAACAATTTAGCAACAATACTTTGTCTGTGTCTTCTAATCTCTGTAATATCACTAATTAACCATATTTATTTATATTTTGCAAGTGCACAGTTTCTCTTTTAACTGATATAAAAAATTTGCTTATTTTAAACGGTATTTCACAACAATACAAACATTTAATACATACCCATGTTTTAATGTCAACTGTCATACCAAACCAGTAAAAACTGGAACACACTGCATTTAGTGTTTTGTGTGTGCCAGTGTGTCCTCCGATTGGAGATGAATGAAACTCATGAAATATCTTCCTGGCATCATCCATGGTTTTTACTACTCTTCTGGTTCCAACAAAGAGTTCTCCATCTGCAGTAAAACAATATATATTTAGAATTTAATTTAACCACATATATGAGTTGTTAGGATTAACAATAAATTACTGACCCTTTTGTTTGAATTTTGAGGCATATCTTCTGAGGTTTTGCCTCTGAGCCTTGTCATATCCTGAATGGTAGGAGCCCGCAGAAATGAATGTGTAAATCTCTTCCCACTTCTTCTCCATATCTATGAATGTAAGTAGACATTTTCTTCTGAGCTTCAATATGTGCAGTTAACAATGCAAATAATTTAACTTATTAATTAGTGACATTACCGAAACAGCCTTAAAACACCGAAGCTGCGGATTCAGAAGTGTTGTCCAAATACCACATGTCCAGTAACTTCACAGCAGACTTAACCAAAGCTGCAAATTCGACAATTTTGTGCAGAAAGCAGATAGCGACTTTACTTTAATATTGACAAACAATCACAAAGGCTTAAAAAATCAAGTATCAATGTCAATAAAAAGTACTAATATTTACTATTACCTATTTTTCTGCAAATTTGACAACGGAGTAGCATGAAATCACAGCCGGATGCGCTTTGCTCCCCTTTTTGAGTTGTGCGCATGCGCAGGAACAACGGGTAGGACGGTTTACGGGATAGGAGAAATTCCCAGAACACCTGTTCGTAGCAGCGCGGCTCAGCCACCTCACCTCGTGGTGGTACAACCATCGACATATATACTGGACAATTCATTTCCATAGACTCCAATAACACGTTTTTGAGGCTAAATGGGAGGTGGCCACCACCGCCATTTTGATCTTGTCACAGGTTCCGTCAAGCCCAGACAATTCCACAAAAGGGAAGAGAGTTGGAGCTGAGGGTGGGGCTGTAAGGCTGGGATCAACTGACGACACCCGGTCGAACTAGCTACAAGCTAACCTGAAGCTAACCCAAAGCTAATGCGTAGGTGGGAGCTAAGCTAACGGAGGTAGAAACCTAGCTACAACCGGAGTTAACTGTGCACAACACCAGAGCTTCTGAGTCAGAGATACGCCGGGCTGACCGCTGGGTAAAATCGGGTGGAAAACAGAGGTCTCCAAGAGCTCCACAAGCTGATAGTCGGAACCCAGCTCCACCAACATGTTATATTTCAACCCATTTTCTAAAGTGCAGCATTATGTTAAATGCACTGGGTTTTACCCTATTACAGGCGACTGCTGTTACTACCTAGGTTAAATTCTTTGTACTGTGAACTTCTTCGGCAGGGGCGGGCCAACTGTAGGTGGTCGGCGGGCCAACCTTAGCCTGCGGGCCCCAGTTTGGGCTCCCCTGAAACAGACGGTGAAACTCTAGGATAGAAAATCCTGACAGATCTACGTCACACTGTCACTAACATTCATGGACTCACCCATCTGGACTCACGACGGGGAAGGCTGTTGTTGGTTTAGTCCAGGAAACAGCAGAGAACGTCTCAGTTAGTAAAAGCTAATTGTTAGCATTAGCAACTGCACCACACAGCAGGACTCCTCCAGGCTTGTGTTATTGGTGGAGATAAAACAACATTGCAGAGCAAACAGAGTCAGTGGTAGAGTCGTGTTGCTGTTAGCCAATCAGAGGAGAGATGTCCAGATATCAGGAAAGACAGTTTAAAATCCCAATTCCTGCCATTTTCTGTCCTCTTCTCCTCCAACCAAAGTCTATTTCTTGAAACAGGACCCCTGCAGATGTGTTGAGATGAGCAAACGTGGTCTTTAAAGATAAGCTTACATGGCTGGGGGGGGGGGGGGGGGGTAGGAGTGGTGTCCAACGCTGGATCCTTGTTAAAGGATCAGTTAAAGTCCTGCAAGTCATCACCACCACTGGTGAGATCACATTTCTGCATCCGACCCATCCTGCAGGAACTATGAGGTGGTTTCAGTCCAACCCCTTAAAGCGGGGAGGCGCTGGGTCCCATTGGGAAAGTCTTTGGTATGACCCGACCGGGATTTGAAGCCTGATGTCCCAGGGCAGACGCTCCACCACTAGGCCACTGAGGAGGTGGACGTTCGTTTTCTCATACCCGGTACACTCGTAGACGGGTCTCCCACAACCCCAAGATCCGTTTCTATGGTTTGGCCCGTCACCCACACAAGAGAAAACAAACGGCTGTAAAAGCAGTTATTAAGAAAACAAGGTTGAGATTTCTGAATTCTCCGTTTCTGGCATTTGTTTGTGGATGGAAACAACGAAATGTTTTAAGTGTCAGGTGTCACAAGGTCCCTGCCTTCGCCCCAAACCCGCACATCATACGTGTGACCCGTGTTTACGTTAGCTTACTTGTTACGGCGCAATGGAAAAGACCACTATTGCCTGCTACCTAGTTACTCCACATCCAAAAATGTTTGTTAGCTGCCAACCATTTAGGACAGCGGTTCCCAAACTTTTTTAGCCGCGCACCCCCTTCTATGTCCCGACCATGTCGACGCACCCCCCAGCCCCCACATCAGGGCATGGCTATATATATATATATATATATATATATATATATATATATATATATATATATATATATATATATATATATATATATATACATATACATATATATATAAATATACATATACATATACATATATATATATATATATATATATATATATATATATATATATATATACATATATTAGTGGTGGGCATAGATTAATTTTTTTAATCTAGATTAATCTCACTGTAATCTTGGAATTAATCTAGATTAAAATGGCTCATTCAAATTCTGCCAAAGGCATATGTGTGTGCTACCTAGATAATGAATAAAAGCAAGTCTTTGAGAATGGAGGCATATTTCTTGTTTCAATAATGCATCACAGACTGATAAAGCAGTTTTACTACGATAACAAATGATGAAAATAAATAATGATCAATAAGTATTTGTGTTTAATAGCTGTTTATTCAGTTCAACAAATTCTGCTCTGTAGGTCTACAGAATAGGTCATGATTAACTATTTACAGTCAGTAGCATTTGGTCAATCAGTCCAAGCTCTATTTCTCCTTCTTCCACCAGTCACTCAAGCAGACCAGCTTGTTCACATTGTCTGGTGACAAACTAGATCTTCTCTTCTGCATAATGTGGCCTGCTAAAGAAAAAAGTATATAGATATATATATACACAAACACACATACATACATACATACATACATACACACACACAAACTATCTGGCCTGGGGAGGGGGTTAAATTTCTGGGGTGCCCTTCCAATGCCCCCCTTTAGTTTGCATGTAGGATCGCCTCTGGTGAATAGGAGCGAGAGCTGGAAATGATGCCACAGCTCACCTGTATGAGCAGAAGCCAACTGTTGCTGTTGTTGTCTCTGAAAACGACAAGGGGAGTTATCCTAGCTCAACTTTTCTAAACAAATATAAAGATTTATGAGTAAAACGTTTATTATTACAGGTGAATTTGAGTCGAAGAGACCTGTAGAAACAATTTATCACTTTATCTCAATAAACAGCTGCTAAAAGAGCTAAACTTAGTTGGAAACCGCACCTGTCTGAGAAAGTCTTGTCTCGGTTTTCTCACATCCGAGCGCTGCTTCGGCCGCGGACGGTGAAGTGTGGCCCGGGGAAAGCCCGGCTGGAAATGTCGGAGGTAAACAAAACAAAATAAAAAGAATGAAAGTCGGATTTATGGATTAAACTCTGGTGAAAGTACATAAATTATTTACTTGTCCCACGCGATGAGAAGGGAGAAGCGCTGCTGGTGGCGAAGGTGCGACTGTTCGGCTTCATGGGGAACATTAAACTCTGCGAGCCTGGCGTCCTTCCATACCATCGGTCCATACGTACGATGATCCACGCCGAGTATACATCCGCGCAATGTGAAAGTCATCATAGTTTACTTAGTATAGACCCAGATCCCAACCCAACTTTGAGAATAGATTAACGGCGTCATTTTTTTTATCGCGCGATAAGAGGCTGGCTTTGCCGCAGCGCATTAACGCCGATACCGGCCAGACGTCAAGCTAAACAGACAGGGTTAAAAAAAATATGATCGACCTTTTTCCCCATCACTTTCATTTTTTTAAATGGTAATTAAAAAACATTCGATACCATTACAATTTCCTTTGATTTAATTTTAAATAAATATTTAGTGCCCAGGTAGCACATAAACAATGCAATTTAACGGTTTTCTTAAAGTAGGAACGTTTAACCTGTGCGGCCAGAGCGCTCTCCTTCCTTCTGCTCTGCGTAAACCTGAGCTGGTCACCTACTTGTGCGTAAAAGATATCGCCTTGAGGTTCACTTTTGCCTCAGACCGACTTATTGCTGTTTTATGGTGTGGCTGAATCTGCGATCCGCTGCCACGCGGACTGGAACAACAAATGCTGCAGTAACATGAGTTGTGGCAGGTTCGGAGTCACTGGCTGGAGCGGACCCGACTTTAATACGTCATCCCAAAATAGAAGCTAATATCTTAATTTGACCTGGAATGAAAAATGTTATAAAACCTCTTAAAAGTTTTTATCACAGAGGAGGCAGCGCTCATGTCTGTCTTCAGTCTGACGGCGCGCCGGAGTTTACGCAGCGTGCGCGCTTATTGAATCTGTGTGTGTGTGTGTGTGTGCTCCATGAGCCGCTCCAGTCACCGCGTCTCGTTGGCGCTATTTAAACCAATGTTGTAAAATTACTTCTGCCCAGCCCAGATGTGCTCACTTGTGCACCCGTGAGCCGTGGTTCCGCTGGAACGCGTCTGACCTCTGACAGACGCACTCTGAACTTCAGATCTTCAGCGCGCTGTTAATAGCCTGAATGGGAATCATTTCTTGATTTATTTTGTCCACAATGTTCTTTGTGTGAGGTTTACAATGTCAGAACACTTGCATGAGACAGGGTGTTGATTACAATCTGCCAGAATGACTGCACCACCTTCAGATTCCTCCAACATCGTTAAAAATGATCAAATGCGGAACATATCGGCGTGCGCAGGCCAGAGTGCTGAAGCTCGGCGCATTGTTATTATGAAGCTAGGGCACATGTGGAGGACACACACGCGCGCGCAAAAATATACTTGTTTTCAATTACATTTATTGGGCCCACTTACTTATTCTTACCCACAAATGAGTTTCTGGCTACGCTAATGGTGACATTTGACAGACTTCTCTGAGCTCCGCAGCCATTACACTTTTCACCTTGCGCACCCCCCGGAGGTGTGCGCACCACACTTAGGGAATCCCTGACCACCTGGGGCTGACAAGGAGGTGGAGTGGACCCATGACTTCCCCTGGGTGGGGCGACTGTTCAGCTTTCTAGTGGCTGCGTAGAGCTGGACAACCATCAGGTGTGTTGGACCAGATGAACCACTAAAGTATGCCAAAGAACATTTTATTCATGACATGAATCGGAGAAGCTGCCTTCAACAAAAACGAAACATAGCTACACCGCCGCCACCAGATGTCCTCAGCTCAGGAAAAGCTGCCTGAAGGAAAATGTTACTGAAACTCCAGCATTTAGATTTTCTTACCCCAACGGTGACTGAAAATGTCAACCCTGTGTGTCCTGTACCGTTTAGGAAATGCTCTAAATGATGTTTTTCTTCTTTTAGTCAAAAGGTCATGGGGGCTCACCGAGAAGTGGAGAAGCTGCGTCGCAAAAGCTCAAGAAGATCCGTATGCTGAGGACATCTGCCGAGCTTTAGTTAAGTGTTGATGTTTCACTCATCGTGCCGTTTCCAACTGGATTGTTCTTGAATAAAATGGTTTAGGCAAGTTTTGTGGTTCGTTGGAACATCTTAGGTTAGAAATAAAAAACCAAAACGAACTTTTGCTTTTTGTTTTAAATCACATTCAAATGTTTTACAGCAAACACAGAACAAGAACACACTTTTTAAAAACTGTCTAGACAAAACATCCAAACTGAAACCTCCAATCACACGCATGCAAATAAAGTAAACACACACAAGTCAAACTAAATGGTTAGAAAAACAACGAGTTTTGCCTTCTGTGGGGTGCTTAGCGCCTGGACTTGGTGTACAGCGAGCTGTATGCGCTGTCCACTTTGGGGCAGAAGCGTTTGGTGTGCGCTTTGGCCCCCGTGGCCCCGCACAGGGGACACACATACTGCCGCAGATAGGGACACAGTACTTCTCCTGCATGGTTCTTCAGACGGTGGGACCTGTACACCTGCTCAGACTCATTGTTATGTTTGCAGAAGCTGCACATCACGCGCTCAGACGCAGGCGGAACCGGAGCTTCATGGAGGCTCTTTTTGCGCTCCTCTGGCCATGCGGAGGTCGTCGGTCCGGACAGATCTGGTGCGAACCGCAAGAAATCAGTGGGGTTCGGGACAGTGAGAGCCACCAAGCCAGGCAGCGCAGGTGGAGGGTGAAATTCCGTAGCCCAGTGTCCACAGACTGCGTGCATGCGCAAGTCAGCACTGGTACCTGGCGGAGAGGGCTCTGTGGCTTTGTTCCGACCCATCTCTCTGACGGTGTCCAACAGCCCCATGTAATCCCTCCAGGGCTGAAAGGTTTTGTTGTTTGACTGCATGATTGAGGCAAGTGGAAAATGACCGCCGGCAGCCTTGATTCAGCGTTTAGCGCAATTTCCCTGCCTACGGAAGCGTAGTTCGGGGAAAAACCGTCAGTTCGGGGAAAAAAACGGGGAAAATAACTCAGGACCAGTGTCTCGTTACCACGACAAAGTTTCTCTTGGTAACGAGACAAGGCCGGTGTTCTGAGAAAACGTCCAACTTTGGCCAAACGTCCTACCCGTAGGAGAATTTTACGGTGTTTTACATGACACAAACCCTATCCCACACCATAACCCTAACCAAAGGAAAAAAGTACTAATACTTACTACGTATCTATTTTCCTGCAAATATGACAGCGGAGTAGCATTCCCCTTTTGTGTTGTGCGCATGCGCGCACATGCTCAGTAACAACGGGTAGGACGGTTTACCGGGTAGGAGAAATTCTCAGAACATTGCCACTTCTGCCCTCAACCGCACCCTGGAACAGAATCGCAAATATGCTGACCGTCGGCGGGCACCTGCTCCAGTGTACTTCCCCGGGCAGAAGGTTTGGCTTTCTTCTCTGCATGTTCCCCTGAAGTCTCTGTCTCGCAAGCTCTCCCCCAGGTTCCTGGGTCCCTACGAGGTTCTGGAGGTCCTCAGTCCTGTCTCGGTCTGTCTCCGCCTTCCCCCTGGTCTCCGGGTCCATCCCACCTTCCATGTCTCTCAGGTCAAGCCTGTTCTCTCCAGCCCGCTTTGCCCTCCGGCCGCTCCCCCTCCTCCCGCCCTGCTTGTGGATGGCCGTCCTGCCTGGTTGGTTCGCCGGATTGTGGACTCCCGTCGTCGCGGTAGGGGCCTGCAATACCTCGTCGATTGGGAGGGCTACGGCCCTGAGGCCCGCTCTTGGGTGCCTCGGTCCTTCATATTGCACCCGGGCCTCATCTCGGATTTTGAGGCCTCTTTGCCTGCTCGTGGCTCTGGGCCACCTGGTGGCGTCCGTTGACAGGGGGGTGGTGTCAGGTACTGGGTTTGTGGGTTCACATTTCTTCTTCACAGGTTGTTGGAGGGCTAGGGAGACTCTTAAGGAGACTCCATCCAGCTAATTACTCGGCTGCAGAGTCACCCTGCTCACCTGCAGCCCATCATGTAATTAGATGGGAGGAATAAAGGAGCCAGTGATCCAGCCACTCAGCACCAGATTGTTTGCCTTAGCGGTAACGTCCAGCCTAAATCTGTTCCTGTTATCTGAACTTATTCTAGTCTGTTCCCTGAAACCTCTGTCTGTCATCACAGGATTCCTAGAACCCGTTCTGGATTTGTGTGGAAGTCTCATACCAGCCTCTGCAGCTCCCGGATCTCCTGAACCACGGCTGAATCCTCCCTGGCTCTGTTCTCCTCCCGTGCGTCTCCTGTTCACCCTCCAACAACCCGCCTCACTGCTCCGAACCTCCACATCTACCCACAGCCCCGGTACCGGCTCACCCCTCCCACGCTCCGCTACAACCAAATCTCAGTAAGAACTCTCCCCACTATCTATATAAATATTTCCCCGTCCCGATCATCATTTCATGTGTTATTTCTTCCAGCGATCCAATCTCTAGCTCCGGAACCAGCCCATCCCTGCCTCCACTCTCCTCTAATAAACTATTTTTTACTACATCTCCTGGTCTCTTGAGAGGCATCTTGTATGTTGGTCAAATATCTAAATAGAGAAAAAAACCATGACAGTAACTTGTCTGAGGAATGTATTTCTGCAATGAGGAGAGACAAAGTAAGTGACACATTTTAGACGCTTAGCCTACCTGAAATTAGAATCGATTTAACACAGTTCTATGTTACTGACTGTATCTGCAGTGTGGTAATATTAACACCCAGTTTTAAATGACAATCACTTGAATTTTACTTGTATTTTACTCATCTAAGCCTAATGTGTTCATAATCCATGCTTGTTATAATGATTATTCATACGTTTATTCACTTTTTATTGTGTGGCACAACAGAGCGGTAACTTCAGATCATTCTATTAGCCTTCACGAGCAAGTTAATGACAGCTGCCTTTATCAGCGCCATAAATTAATCCAGTCAACTACTGGCATGCTTTAATAGGTAAATATCTGATCTTATACTAACCTGTGCTCAGTGTGTTGAAAACATATGTTAATTCAGTAAAAAAAAAAAACATAGAGCTGTGCCGCGCGCGCGCACACACACACACACACACAGAGATTCAACAAGCGCCACGCTGCGTAAACTCCGGTGCACAGTCAGACTGAAGACAGACATGAGCGCTGCCTCCTCTGTGATAAAAACTTTTAAGAGGTTTTATAACATTTTTCATTTCAGGTCAAATTAAGATATTAGCTTCTATTTTGGGATGATGTATTAAGGTCGGGTCCGCTCCAGCCAGTGACTCCGAACCTGACCACAACTTATGCTACTGCAGCATTTGTTGTTCCAGTCCGCGTGGCAGCGGATCGCAGATTCAGCCACACCATAAAACAGCAATAAGTCGGTCTGAGGCAAAAGTGAACCTCGTGGCTACATCTTTTCCCTACAGACATTTGATTACGCACAAGTAGGTGACCAGCTCAGGTTTACGCAGAGCAGAAGGAAGGAGAGCGCTCTGGCCGCACAGGTTAAACGTTCCTACTTTAAGAAAACCGTTAAATTGCATTTTTATGTGCTACCTACCTGGGCACTCTAAATATTTATTTAAAATTAAATCAAAGGAAATTGTAATGGTATCGAATGTTTATTAATTACTATTTAAAAAAGAAAGTGATGGGGAAAAAGGTCGATCATATTTCTTTAACCCTGTCTGTTTAGCTTGATGTCTGATATAGATATTGAGAAAATATGAACGTTATTTCGTTACCACAAATGCACAATTCGTGTCCACGTTATAGCTGTTTCGTAATACGTGCCCACGCAAATACGTATTTCGTGGGCACGTTATAGCCATTTCGTGGCCTCAATTTATTTATTTTTGGGAGTGGGACCATGTCATCAGAGGGGCTCCGTACCAACTGGATTGTTGTAGAATAAAATGGTTTAGGCAAGTTTTGTGGTTCGTTGGAACATCTTAGGTTAGAAATAAAAAACCAAAACGAACTTTTGCTTTTTGTTTTAAATCACATTCAAATGTTTTACAGCAAACACAGAACAAGAACACACTTTTTAAAAACTGTCTAGACAAAACATCCAAACTGAAACCTCCAATCACACGCATGCAAATAAAGTAAACACACACAAATCAAACTAAATGGTTAGAAAAACAACGAGTTTTGCCTTCTGTGGGGCGCTTAGCGCTTGGACTTGGTGTACAGCGAGCTGTATGCGCTGTCCACTTTGGGGCAGAAGCGTTTGGTGTGCGCTTTGGCCCCCGTGGCCCCGCACAGGGGACACACATACTGCCGCAGATAGGGACACAGTACTTCTCCTGCATGGTTCTTCAGACGGTGGGACCTGTACACCTGCTCAGACTCATTGTTATGTTTGCAGAAGCTGCACATCACGCGCTCAGACGCAGGCGGAACCGGAGCTTCGCGGAGGCTCTTCTTGCGTTCCTCTGGCCCTACGGAGGTCGTCGGTCCGGAGAGATCTGTTGCGAACCGCAAGTCATCAGTGGAGTTCGGGACAGTGCGAGCCACCAAGCCAGGCAACGCAGATGGAGGGTGAAAATCCGCAACCCCGTGTGCACAGACTGCGTGCATGCGCAAGTCAGCACTGGTACCTGGCGACTCTGTGGCGGTGATCAAACCCAAAATCTCTCTGACTGTGTCCGACAGCCCCATGTAATCTCTCCAGGGCTGAAAGGCTTTCCTGTTTGACTCCATGATTGCCAGGTGGAAAATGACCGCCGCAGCTTTAATTCCGCCTTTAGCGCAGTTTCCCTGCAACACGAAAGGGGTTGATGATTTCTTCCGTACAAAGTCTTGATGGGTAATTAGGACCAAGAGGTGGAGCGCGCACGTTGTTCACTCCCACCCAGATTGGCGGCTGATAAGTCACGTGAGCTCGTGGGCAGCGCATGCAGGTGTACCGCCTCCAATCAAAGATGTTCCCAAACTTATTTAGCCGCGCACCTACTGTGTCCTGATCATGTCGACGCACAGCGCAGGGCCGTGCAGAGACCTTTGACGGGGTGGGTGCTCAAAGTAAAAAAAGGGGCACTTATAGAGCAATCCAATAAGTTAGAAAATTCAGATAATGAGACCCTTGGGTTCAAACAACATAATAAAAATATATAAATTAGTGTCATTAGTGTTAATGTTAGTTCATAAATAATAGTTTTAGTTTTTAAAGCTGACTTATCTAGAGATGTTACAACCACATTTTTGCCCCTGATCTGAGTCCAAGTTGTTTGATTTTTGATTATCTTCCAATACTGAGTCCTGTTCTGATACCAGGTGGTGATGCAAGGCATTATAAAAGAAGAAATAAGTCGTCCTTCTGTCTGTATTTGTCATTTTGTTGTTTTAGCCTGAAAAGGTCACTCATTCAGGAAGTACATTTAACAGGAATCAAGATACTTTATTGCTATTGCACAGGTGTACAACCAAATATATTTTGCGCCTACTAAAGACAGCTCTAGTAAGAGGTAGTAAAATAAATGTAAAATAAATGCAACCACAGAGACTTATCCAGTGTGATCTACAGCTATGTTAGCTGAGATCTTTTTCCTGTCAGTAGAAAATTCTTGATCCCATTCCATGATCTCACTGAACTTAACACTAAACATGAGAGCTCTGCTACCAACCTAACAACAACATCCTTTACACAAAGGCACCATCATCACATACGTGGCAGGAGTCTCAGAGAAACTTAGAAGAATCTTCTCCAAACACAACATCCCGGTAAACTTTAACCCAACAACACCCTCAGACAGAACCTGGTCCATCCAGAAGACAAAATACCCAAACAGAAGCTCAGTGGGGTCGTTTATGCAGTCCAGTGTAGTGAGGACTGTCCAGATGTTTACATTAGAGAAACTAAACAACAATTACACAAGAACATAACACAACACAGGAGAGTCACCTCTTCAGGTCAAAACTCTGCAGTCCACCTTCACCTGAAGGACAAGGGACACACCTTTGACGATGACAAAGTCCACATTCTGGACAGAGAAGATAGATGATTTGAGAGAGGAGTAAAAGAAGCTATCTATGTAAAAATGTGAAAACCCCACTTTAAATAGGGGCGGGGCTTAGATTTCACCTTTCCAGTACCAATAATGCAGCTTTGGTCAAGGTCAAGGTCAATTTTACTTACAGAGCGCATTTACAGCAGCAAAGCTACACCAAAGCACTGGACAAGGTAAAACTAAACAAGATACAACAAATCAACAATAAAAACCTAAAATAAGATGAGCACACAACAGTCACAATCTATGATAAAAACTGTTAAAAACTATTAAGATGCTCAAGTCAGCCAGCATTAAAAGCCAAATCAAAAAATTGCATCTTAAGAAGGGATTTAAAATGCTCTAGATTCTGTGTGGTCCTGATGTTGAGAGGTAGCTTGTTCCACAGTTTGGGCCCAACCACAGAGAACGCTCTGTCGCCGCGAGTCTTGTGGCGGGTTTTTGGAACTGTTAAAAGAGCTTGAGAGCTGGACCTCATGGTTCTGGCAGGGACGTAAGCGGACAGCAGCTCAGAGATGTAAACTGGGGCCAGGCCATGAAGGGATTTAAAAACAAAAAGTAAAAATTTGAAACGGATCCTGTAAGAGACAGGAAGCCAATGGAGAGCGGCCAGAACCGGGGTTATGTGATCCACTTGCTGGTTCCAGTCAGCAAGCGAGCCGCTGCATTTTGGACCTGCTGAAGTCAGTGTGGGGAGGACTGGTCCAGGCCAGAATACAGGGAGTTGCAGTAGTCCAATCGGCAAGACACGAACAGGTGGATGACATGTTCGAGGACATTAGCAGGAAGGTATGGCTTCACCTTTGCTATCTGCCTTAAATGATAAAAACCTGATTGGACCACTGCACTCACCTGTCTGTAAAGATTAAAAGAACCGTCTAAAAACACACCAAGGTTTTTAACACAGGGTTTTAGAAAACCAGAACAAGGACCAAGAGGACCAACAGCGTTGTTTAAAGAGCAAGTCACCCCCAAATCAACAATTTTCTTCTGATAAACTATATAAATGCGTGTCTAATCGTGCTGCAGACACGTGTCGTCAATAGTTTTTCACTTTAGTGCATTTTAGTTATAATTTAAATTTTCTGCCTGAAACTGTCAGTGTTGTGCCGTTGTCAGGTAAAAACTCTTCACTGCATTTGAATTTAAATCTGCCACCGCTATTGGCTAAGAGGTATGCTATGATGTAAACTGGTACATTATGATGTCACAATGTCGTGAGTGTGTGTATTTGTTAGTGGCTCCACCCTCTCGGTCTGCTAGGCAACAGCATTTGTTGCATTTTTCAAACATGAAGTGGGAGTGGAGTACGCTTCTTGTAAGGGGTGACTTGCTCTTTAAAAGATTACAACTTTTTTTGAATCTCATTCAGTTTCAGTCTAGGTCACACCTTCCTGCATCTAATCAACACGATGACTCACCATCAATAGAGGCTAACGACTCATCAGGAGATGGAGAGGCGGGGTACTCAGAGTAGTTTCTGCTCTTTAAATAACAACAGACAGCTATAGCTTATGAGCTTGACTCTCCCATATTCCAGTTAGAACTGACAAAGCTCCTCAGAGGAGAAGTGAAATGTTTTAAAGAAACCAAAGAAGTCCAGTTGCCTTCATCTGAACTCTTTGAAATAATAGTCAATAATAAAAAATACATAATAAAGTAAAATGTATATAATTATGCCCACATTCACTTTTACCATCTCTTTGTGGGAGGCAGAAAATTTATCACGTTTAACCCTCTTATGACCATAAATATAACAAGTTTTTTTTTTGTTTTATGGCTTTAAAATTGTAATAAAAGTGTAAAATGTTTGTAACTCTGCTCCTTTTTCCAGAACAACCTCAGCTTTCAGTGTCTAGTTTGTATTTGTGTTTATGTTTATTAAAGTCTGTAAAACTGCAGCTTAAATGAAAAAAATAAACGGATCTGAATTTTCTTCACATTTATTACTAAACAGGAACTTCAAAATGACTTGAGCAAACTGTGTCAAAAGAACTATTTAAACTCAGAACTGTGTTGCAAACACTCAGAAAACAGTGTGACCCCTGACCTCACGATTACCAGTTTAATGACTGCAGCCTGTCTGTGACCACAGGTCTACGCTCTGGTCCAGAGAACGGGATACAGTAAAATAAATACTAGGTATCATAAAATAACACTCATGGGCTACTTCACAGCTGTAGCTACATTTCTACCAGCATTATGAAGATCAATAAGCAGATAAAAGTTTAAATCTAAACATTTCATTACAAAAAGTCAACTAATAAAATTCTGCACTGATAACATTATATTTTCAGCTAAATAAATATTTATTGTATGTATAAATAATGCTGGAATGAAGCTGAATCATTTAGTAAACAGTTGTGTGTTCAAATAAAAACCAGTGTGACTGTAATCTGTCCCTCCTCATGTCACCATCTACAGAAACAGCCTTCTGGGACACCTGACCAACCAGGTGGATTTTATTTGTGACGCTTCCATAACTTTATAAAAGGTGCTGATGAAGATGATCAGATCATCTCCTCCTTTCGGTTCTCTGCTCTCCCGTCGCGGTTCGCTCCGTTTCTTTCAGTGAGGCTGCAAAGCTGGTTTCCTTCTAATAGCGATTTTTGGAGTAACATGAATTACATCACGTAATACCTCGTTGGAAAGTTCGTTTTATGTACTTTTAGAAACCGTTTGAATTATTTTTATTCGATTAGTAATTCAGAAGTTATGACCCGGAGAATCTAGAGCGAGAAACATCCGTGATTCTTTGTGAATTTCTTCATCACTTCAGGAGAAGTCTCTCTCACGTCTCATTTTCTGTCCCAGACATGCAGCTACCTGACTCTGCTCCACACACACTAGCCACGGACTCAAACGCACGTAAACAAAAGCTCTGATATTAAAATCTATCCAGCTGACGTGAAGCAGGCAGAAAAAAACTTACAGTTAGATGAAGCAGACTCCTGTCCGCAGGGAAAACACCGGTCTGTCGTCTCCATGGCTACAAGGTAGAGCGACAGCAAGCACAACCAATCACTGTTAGTATGATGCAGCAGAGCCAATCAGTGAGTTTGTAGGCGGGTCTAAGGGAAAATAGCTTTCAGCTTAAGGCGGCTGCCTCCGCATGGTCCTAGTGCCCGATGAGTATCACAGTACAACAGTTTGTATGGTAGAATCTGACGAACGACCGGAAAAAGTGTACTTTGGGCATTTCGGTCAAAAGGGGCAGGTTCGCAAGCACCCTCCGCGCCCCCGTCTGCACGTGCCTGTTGTAGCGATCCCGAGCATCTAAGCGACAGGTTTATAGTCACCAAATTAATCAGCAGGAGGCAATAGTAGTTCACACCAGATCTTTATGAGGCTTTTTCTTCAACGCTTTGTAACGCTACAGACACCGATCTTCTATCACGCTCCTACCACACAGAGTCACGGTGTCAGTTAACCATGCTACTTCAACCCGCTCCACAGAACACACCACCTTCCCTGTGGCTTACATTAACAAAACACTCACACAACATGCAAATCAACACATAGGAACTAGCAGAACGATAGGAAACACATATAACACAATACCCAGAATGCACCTGGCTTACAACCCCAGCCAGGTCATAAAAATGATCAAATACGGAACATATCGGCGTGCGCAGGCCAGAGTGCTGAAGCTCGGCGCATTGTTATTATGAAGTTATAGGGCACATGTGGAGGACACACACACACAAACACACGCGCAAAAATATACTTGTTTTCAATTACATTTATTGGGCCCACTTACTTTTTCTTAGGCCCGCCCACCCACAAATGAGTTTCTGGCTACGCTAATGGTGACATCTGACAGACTTCTCTGAGCTCCGCAGCCATTACACTTCTCACCTCGCGCACCCCCTAGCGGCAGCTCGCGCACCCCCGGAATCCCTGATGGCCAATGAGTGGAGGCTGTTTCAAATGGTTCAGGTCAAGTCAACTCAAAGTCTCTAATGGCCAACTTGGGCAAAGACCTTGGGGAGCAGCAGCTCCATAAAAGGAGCCAATTCAAAAAGTCTCCATAAGGTGCAGAGAGAACATTAGGAGATACCAGAACAGGCTTCCAACGGGGAGCAGCTCCAGGAAGCACCAAGTAGAACATCAACACCTGTGCCGGTTGGAGTTTAACCTTGTGATTTCCTGTGGAAACAAACGTCCCAAAATCTGATTCCATGCTGCAGTTCATTTTTAAAACACAGAGCAGTTTTGTTTACCTGTTTTAAGCACCTCGTGATTTTTATCTTGAGAGGCGCTATAGAAATGATACTTTCTTCTTCTTCTTCTTCCCGCTACGTTTCGTTTGCGGCTGCAAACTTCCTCAGGCTGACGGATCATGAAAGGGTCCCAAAATCTGTTCGCTGTGGCTCGTAGTGACCTGACCCGGACCCTTTGCACCGTACAGACAGGATAACCGACAACTGGTCGTTTCAGTCCAGTAGAGACCGAGGCCACTGCTTCCTTCTGTTAACACCTACCGTTGACACACACAGGTGTAAGCACATAGTCAAGGACAGATCGCTCTTAACCCACCATTTCTGTTCAGTTTCTTTTCCTAACAAATGCATCTTGTGTCCATCAGTTTGTCTAAACATCTGCAACCACATCAGTAGTTGGACCTTCAACGCAGAATTAAGACAATGATATTTTACATCAATGCGACCTATTGGGTTTTTAGACAGAGCGATTGCACCTCGATTAACACCAAATATTTTCACTGGTAGGGTTAGTCAGTCATCATCTAAACCTTGTAGTGGTTGCAAAAGCCGAAACCTCTCCTGTGTAGCAGCAGTCAGAGCTGTAAATTCTGCCTCACATGTTGAAATGCAACAGTTTTTTGTTTCTTGGTTTTCCAGGAAACAACGAAGACGATCTGTTCAAGCTGAAGCAATCCGTTGGGCTGCGTCTATCCGACTCATCCGCAGCCCAATCGGCATCACCATGAGCTGTAGCTTTACTTTACTCTTGGTGTAACATCAACCTTGATGAGTGCTTCCCTTTAGGTATCTCAACACTTTAGCTGCTATCCAGTGATGTTCTTCTGGCTGGGCTCAATACTGAGACAGCTTACCAACAACCCTTCTTGTACCAGTGCCTTCACCTCCATCATCAAAGTGCATGTGTTCACATGGAGTTGACCCTGCCTTACAGTCGGACACGCCAGGATGTTCTTTATGCATCTGCTTAGTTTCGTGTTCATTTATCCTATTTTTTTAACTCAGTGCCTAAAAATACGTAAATTTTCCAAAATCTTTCAGCTTAAACTGTTTAGTTAACATTTCTTTTACCTCATTGTTTTTGTATATTTTGCTGCAATGATCAGATCATCAACCCAAATGAGTAAATAAACCTGTTCCATACTTGTTTTTGTTTAGTGTAGACTCAGTGATCTGCTTCATTCTGCTGGAAACCATTTTGTTCCAGTTCTGTTTTAATCCATAATGATTTATGCCGTTTACACACAATCTTTTCCCTTTGGTCTGATTTTAACTCAAACCCTTCAGGCTGGCCTATGTAAACAGTCTTAACCTCCATTTGGTAAGTGGCTTGTATTTGATATAGCACCTTCTATAGTCCTGTAACCCCCCAAGACACTTTATCATCATCATCACTTTATTTATGTAGCACCTTCCAACTTCCCGAAGGCAAACCAAAGTGCTGTACACACAACACCACTGACCCATACAATGGTCATCAAAAACAGACAAAACAAATAAAACCGATAAAAGCAGGAGACAAGAGCAAAGAACGATAACAAAATAAAAACAAGGTAACCAAGTGCAACTAACTTGGATCTAAATTAGCTAAATGATCTTAAAGCTAGCTCACATGCTGAGGGAACGCCACCATGAAAAGTGTGTCTTCATCCGACCCTTAAAAATCAGCAGTCAGGGTGCTTGATGGACATCAAGTGGAAGACCATTCCATAGTTTGGGGGCTAAAACT